CACTATTTATTCATGTTCATGTGGATTTACACAGCGACGACCAGAGTAAGTGGCCACAGCATATATTCCACAGAGCTCTGCTTGTCAACAAGTGGCTGGATTTCAAAAGGCATAGTGTCATTAACGTGAAACCGGATTCCGTAAGGCCAGGATCGTCATCATTAAATTGGATCTCATAGGAATAATTGTACCCTCTGTGACAGTGCAAAGGACACAACCCAACATGGCAAACCCGCTCCTGCCTTGGAGGTGCACGACCCAGGCTGCGTCGTCCCCTGGCCCTCCGACGCCAGTTTCAAGCTTCGTTGATCGAAAATAAAGTACTGGAAGTCACGACCAGGAGTGGTCTAGTGACATCACCGCGGGAGTCACTCACGCACGTTGAACCTTGCGAGCTCATAACTGCAGTGACGTCACTATTTTGAGTAATTTTTACTGATTTTAAAGTATTTTTTTCTTCTAGATTTGAAGTTTTCGTGACTGCAATGATCTCAATGGTTCTTTCGGTAAAAAAAAATCTAATTCGCGTCGGCAAGGGAATCATAGTAAAGTTAGGTGGGTATCTAAGTGAACAGCTAGTTTAACATATTTAGCCCAAATTATAATTAACGCTGTAATATTTGCATGTCACCAGATGGAAAACATTTCCATTGAGAACTCTGGCAGCTGGCAATGCAGCGCACTGTGTCAGAGAATGGTCCCACAAGATGATGATTATGATGATTAAATTCCTTTTTGAATTTCCTACAATCATCCGGGACACACCGCTCGAATTCCCTGCACATTTTTTTTTGTTTTATTAGCCCAGCTGCAATAGAAACACAATTAACTCAAGGAACTCAATTTAACATTACGATCGTTGTGTTACAGTAGCTGGTGACTAAGCTGTCACCATTATGAAGTCTCTGCACGTGAGAACCTAGTCTAAACACGGCTGGTTGAAACCCATGTTTACACCAAGGAGTTAAGTGGTAGCAGCTCAGGGTTGATATGGCACTAGAGTCCTGAGCCACGCAGCGAGGAACGCCTCAAGACAATTTTTTTTTTTGTCAGGAGGAGGGTCCCGCTATGTATTATGATATTTGGTCCATTCCATTATTGAGAGTTTGGCACGCGGGAGGAAAACCGAAGAACTCCCACGCATATGAAGGGGAATCGCACGCGTGCGAGCAATTAACACGCCAAGCTCGACCCAGGTAGATTCAGGAATCCATCGCTGTGCAGTCATCTCCCAGCCACCTCGCAGCCCAAGCCTACGGCACCTGCTATTCCCAGGTGATCTCCCATTCAAGCGATAAGCAAGTTCAACCATGCTGATACTTCTGAGATGGAAAAAAAACATTCAGCGCGACGTAAGCTCAATTCAAGCCAAGTACACACCCCCATCCACCCCATGCACAGGAATGTGGAAGTTACACGACAAGTCTCAGAGCCGTCAATCGAAGAAGAAAAAAGCGAGCACTGCCGAATGCGGTGTTTGATTCATTATCCATTACAAATTAGGCTCAGCCCCGGATTAACGTCACAGATAGCAGACCGCCAGAATTCAGGGCGATTTCGTCTCCGGATTCCACAATCCTGCACCAGCTGGGCGGGGGGAGGGGCAAGGGGAAGAGCGGCAACCCCCACGCTGACACCAGAGCTGGCCTGCCGATGCCCCCCACCCTCTCCCCGGCAGAGCCACATCCCGACCCTGGCGCCAGAACCCAGAGCCCAGGATGCCCCCCCCCCTCGCCCCGCCCGGCACGTGCAGGGCGAGCGATGGCACGGCAGAGCTTCAAAGCTCCCCCGTGAGACGGCACGATGTAAAACGCTCAACGTGACGACGATGATGATGAACTTACAGACGATGCCGGCTGTATTAGCAATGAGCAGGAATGTCCTTCTCGCTGCGTGTGCGTGTAACGAGTGGGAGGAGGTTAAAAATACATCGGCAAATTATAAAACCAAACTAACCATGGGATTTTTAAAGTCCCATCTTTATATGCTGATTATTAAAATAGTCAGCAAGCTTAATGGTTGTTGCTTAGAACTAAAAAAAGCGGTGTGTGGGAGGAGAGTGTGTGTGTGTGCTTTTAATATCCAACGTTTCACCTCCTCCTTCCAATATTTTGCACATATGTTCATATGTTTCCACGCGAGTATGCGTGCACGTATCTCGGTTGGGCATGTCCACCCCGAAGGATCCCAATTTTTCGCTTAAAGGACTCCAGGAAGCCAAGCAGGACTGAGCCTGATCAGTGCCTGAGTGGGAAAATATTTCAAGGACCAGGTGCTGCGGACGGAGATAACGACCACTGCGACGCAGGTGTCACACTGAGCAAAGCATCCACTGGCATATGAGACGACGCCATGCGATGCAGCTCTTAGTCAATCCACTGCTGGATGAAGACTTCCACCTGTCCATGTCAGTAATGGTCGGCTGTTTGACCACACTTCACCACGCCGGTTAGTGTGGGCTGGTCGAGGGGGCGGTGGTGGTCATAATCGAAGCAATTCAGATATCGCTCGCCACTCACCGTGCATTAGCCGCTGCGTCGCAACCAAACCCACGCAATATTATAGAGAGAGTGTGTGTGTGTGAATCATTTGTGTTGCATGTCTGCCATTCATTCCACAAGTTACCTCCTGTGTTTACGCCGCACAAAATGCTTTCACTGTTCTACTTATACACCGAGGAGAGACTGTGGGTGAGTCGTGTGAAGGTGGGCAAGGAGTGGGCTGAGAAGAGGCTGCTTGCAGGGTGTTCGGGGGGATATGAGAGGACGGGATAACGGAGCACACTTTATGGGCAGGGAGACATCGAGCAAAGCGTGTGAGATCTTTCCACAGTTATAGCTTACATACGGTAGATAACGCGTTCGCATGAGAAAAGTGTTCAGCACTTGACCTCCCCAGGTCACGGCAGGATTTGCAGTGAGGCACTTTAAACTGCCAGTGATGTAGTCCCTTATTTCATGGACACATTAAATTTCTGGTTTCACGTTTACATGGTTCTTGAAGTCAACCGCTAAGATTGTGGAGCGTGCGACGAGCCCCGACCACTAAGACCTGAGCGCACTGACAGCGGTGAGACACTTCAAGTGTCCCTCTGCCAACACGGCTGTCAGTCGATGTCTCTCTGCCGCTCACTTCTGAGTGTCATCTGTCAGTTAGAGTTTCCAAAAATATTTTACTTCATATATATATAAAAAGGAATGTTTCTGAAGGTATTTCACAAATTTCGTTAAACGTCAAAAACCGTTGAAACCAAACGGAAGCAACTCTTACGGGAAGAAAAATATCATTTTGTCAAAAATAGCATTACCTCGCAACGAAATACCACAATACTTTATATCGTGTTTTTGTATCCATTTTGGCTCTGAGAAAAAATCAAACTCTGAAAGTTATAAAAGCAAGCACTTATAGTGGATGTTGCAATAACAACTTCCAGATCGTAAATTTTAATAACCCTGGATGTATTGGACTCTGTTTTGAAATCCAAAAGCCTGAAATCATATGCTTAACTTATTTTTCAAGTTAAAATGATGGTCGTCACAAAAAGGTACATTTAAGGGCGAAATTTCACGTTAAAATGTGTTATTTTAATTATTTCGGATGTGTTTTCAGTGGAAAACAGCAAAAAATAAAATATGAAACCTGTCATTCAGAAAAAATAACCAAAAGGACAGCGAAAAAGCCATAAATAAAGGTGGATAACCTCATTTATTTTTTTCACAGGCTTACTTGAAAATAAATCTGTCAAGAGGCAATATTTGGCTTAGAAATTTAGTTTACGTATATAGACTTAGTGTGATGATGTCATCCAGTTACTTTCAAGTGGGGTTGGTGGATTAAATAGAGATGGAGCCATACTCTTTGGTTTTTTCGTTCAAGTTACGTAGGTAAAAAATAAAATAACTGTAGAGTTATTTTGCTGTGCCTTTTTTTACACCTGATGAAGGAAGCTTGTGTTGCCTCCAAAACTTCGTGATTTAATTTAGTTGTTTTCATTTATTTTTATTTTATTTTTTACCTACGTGACTTTTACCGAAAAAACCAAAGAGTATGAATCCTTGCAGTCACGAAAGCTTCAAATCTGAAGAGATGGAGCCAGTTTGAGACATCCACAAGCAGGGCAATGATGTCTCCTGGAAGAGACAGCACAGCCAACAGCGATTTGAACTGTCGTGCAGAATATGAATATCATTTTCCCATATGCTTGCTTTTCTCTGGAAATTTCAGTTTCCTTCCAATAACAAACATCCTTTTCACAGCACTGGCCAAATATACCTAACCGAACCATCCTGGAAAAAAACAGGGTCTTGTGAACTTAATGAGACTTTTCTGTGCGCATGAAGAATGGTGCACCATGGATTACTTTGATGATAATAAGTCACACGTGACCGTGTACAATCACTAACTCTAATGCGCGTTATTCAATAACAAAGCGTCCGATATCGAACCTTCATCGCTAAGCAACTCGGGTACAATCAATTGTGTTGATGGCACCAAACCGTACGTCACCGGCTCGCCCCTCGTAACACTCACTGCGCTGATGTCACGCATTGTGCACATTGCTAAGCGGGACGTTGGCATCACCCGCCCGACTTTTTGTCTCGGAAGCCTTACCGATCGCCGCCGAGACAGGGGCGTGAGCGGCGGAGCGAGCAAAACTCTTTGTCCGCGTCAACGCGAACGCAATGGCATGCCGGGTGCGGTCAACTTCGGTGTGTTACACGTGACTCGGAAAACTCCAGCGCCCAACGGGATCAAAGGAGAGAAGGAGAAAACGTGAAGCTTCGAAGGTGTTCGTGTTGTTGTTGTTGCGTGTGTCCGCCGAATGAAAAAACAAAACAAAATTAACGATGGAATAAATAGGCCAGCACAGCGGCAGCCAGAATATAATTTGTGATGCGCGGGTGTCCGTTGTTACTGTGGCGCGGGGAAGGGGTGTTGGGTGTGGAGGTGTAACAGAGTTGTGAGTCGTGAGGGCCGCTGTGACGGTGTGGACTCATTACCCGTGGCGTTGGTAGCGACGATGGTCGCCTCGCATCCCTGCTCGCTCAGGATCCTCGTGATGGAGCACCCCAACACGACGCACAGCGCCTGCCACGGCGGGCACAGCACACACGCAGGACGACCACGAGCAGAGTTCACCTCGCACGGCAAACACATCGTCAACATCGTGTGAGAAGTCGGTTCATAAACTGCTGCGTGAAGGTCTCCAAACGCCGCCAATCGCCATCTGTCACCATTCTGCCACCTACTAATCCACACAGGACACTGTGCACGGGCTCCGCCTGCTCGGTCACCGTCCCTCCTGGGCACGCGCCTGCCCACGGCCACTCAGTTGCCGTGCTCGTTTGGATGGGTGGGTCATTGACCTGTTAGTGTGCCTTCTCGAATCCACGCGTTCCTCTTTCTCTGTCGCTCAATGCGATTCCAAGCATGTCACCTCTACGTGGTTCATTGCGCACTTTTAAACTCTCGTTCCATTTTTTGTGTTAATTGTCGTGTTTACGAGCCATGTGCGGTGAGAAAGAAGTTCAACATACGTACAAACATACACAAGTCACGGCAGGTAGAGTCCACACCTATTGAAGCAAAGCAACGCACATCTCAGCACAATGCCTGCGTAGCACATTCAAATACAAAGAAGGCAGTTGTTGTTGTTGTTGAGCACCTAACAAGGCCTGAATGGCACATGATGAGGTGGTGTCGTCAGCATTACGGCCAGCCACCTTTGTCTCCCCCACAAATCTGATGTTCACACACTGCACCAGGTACTCATTTAAAGGCAAGACAAGGCGTTGGCTGTGACTGGGAACTGAACGTAATTTAAGTATCTGGGTGTTCATAGCACATTGCACAAACCGTTTCCTCCCCACTACCCACGAGAAGAAAAACAAATACCCCCCTTACCTCCACCCCTCCCACCCCCCATATATCCTTGAACAGACTGTTGGGGTAAGTGCTGTTAGTGAGCACCGATGAAGGCCGGCACGGCACACGAGGGGAGTGGCTGACCACCACTGCGCCTGGCCGCCTTTGTCTCCACAATTGTGATGTGTACACACTGCACCAGGTAGACATTTTAAGGCTGAGTCGACCTAGGGGTGGCCCACCAGGACCACTTCAAATATCCGCCACTGTTATTGGCCGTGAGCGGGAATCGAACTGAAGTCGGCAGGTTCGTAACGCAGCGTATGTATGTTCAACTTCTTTCACGCCGTACGTAGCCAACCATGCAATGCGCCGTATAGCCTGTAACAGACTGTAGGGACAAGTGCTGTTAGCGAGCACCTATAAAGGCCGACAGGGCACACGAGGGGGTGGGTGGCCAACACGACGCCCGGCCGCCTTTGTCTCCCCAGTGGCGATGTTTACACATCGCACCACGGACCCATTTGAGGCTGAGTCGACCTAGAGGAGGCCCAGAACCGGTTCAGATAATCGTAACCGATTTTGGCCATGAGCAGGAATCGAACTCTGGTCGCCGGGTTCGTAGCGCAGCGTAGCGCTAACCGCCACACCACCGCTCCCCACAATTACACACACGCACGCACGCGCGTCGACCATGCCAAACAGCGCACGCGTGTGCGTGCATGAATAGCCACGCCACGGCCACCGACGGCAGTGATTAGCAATTAATTGTTGGGACTGAATATCCTCTGGAACATGGCATGCTTTCCCAAACCGCTGGCTCATTGTCGGACCCCTTTGTGGGCCACTTAGACCTGTTCGCGTGCATCCCTATTGACGCGCGGGCCACTCAGGGGCCCACGTCCTTAACGTTCGAGAACATCTTATCAAGATGCGGGTACTCTCACTTCCAACACGCCAGCATGCTGCTCGCCACTGAGCTTCCACTAGCGCGCGCGCGCGCACCAAGCACCCATTGCTTTATTCAACAGATAAATATGGAAGGGTCTTCATCGGCAGCGGTGCGGAAGCGCACAAACGATCACGTCTAATGCATTTGTCATTAACACTGCCCCGACAACGGGTAGGTATATATATACATCAATTACGTGTATCACGTTGTGAGGCAGCATCGATGGTGAAATGTGACACGTTCCGTCGGTCTCCTTGACACTGAAGCCTGCGGTTGTCGCTGGCCGCCTTGGCACTTGTGTGCTGCGTGGACAGACGTGAAGGTTGGCCACGGTTGGCTACGTACGGTGCGAAAGAAGTTCAACACGCAGACGTACAAGAGTGGATTCGCACGTGATTCACATTCGTGGTGACCGTGCGTTCCTCAAAAGGATTGTAGCGTGGCCCCCAGGTGTGCCGAGCGGCAGTGGGCTGATGGCATTTCCCGAGCCAGCTCTGTTGTGACTGTGTTACACACGGCGATCCATTTGTTGATACCCCGCTGGTTTTAAAATGCCCCTCTTAACTTTCCTCTCAACCGGTGGTTGTATGCAGTGACAGCGATTGTTGTGTGTCTTAACATTTGTGGTTGATGTGTTGAAGGCTTTGAAATAAAATGTTGCTTCGCCTACCCTCTTAAGACCAATGTTCACCTATTCGATGTTGAATCACGTAACCAAACGTCTGAGGGTTATCTATAAAAGGATCACCCTATACATAGGATGTTGCAGATCACTTGGAATTGTAGAAATACTGCAAAGAATAATCATGAACAATGCACTCTGTTAATCCAGGGAAAACACTTTCGTGATAACATTGGTTATCACAGTTGCACGTTTATCAATGCACTTAATGCTCCTTTTTTCCCCAAGCGGGTTCTGCAGTGAGATATTTTGCCAATTCCATTGCTGGAGTGTTTTGGCTTCATGAGGTACCACCCGGAGACACCACACGCATACGAGCGGATAACACCGCAAAGCTGCGCATAGATGGGTCCACGAAAAATAAATAAATGAAACTTGCTGCGCTGCCATCTCCCGGCCAGGCCACCTCGCAGCCAAACGGGGTTGGGGTTTCACAAATCTCTGCGTGATCCCCTAAATAGTGTACTGGGTCAACGTGGAGGTGCCGCTGTGGTGGTGCTTGGAAAGCCAAGTGGAGCTCGCAAGAAGCCGCAAGCACCTCGTGAAAGAGCCGACGCAGAAGACCCCCTCCCCCCCTGGCTGCGATGTTCCACAACTCCGAACCGCATCTACCGCACAAACCGTGGCAGCAGCCGATACGAATAGCTGATGATGATGATGATCATCATCATCATGATGCACAAATGGAAAACGCTCTGGCATAGAACCACTCAATCAATGCCTGATTCACAAATACGAAGGTGACATCATTGCGTTGATTCCCTCTCCTCCTTTCTGACGCAATCGTTGTGGCTCAACCACCTCAATGCACTGAAAGGTGCAACGAATATCGAAAGGGTGTACATCGAAGCAATGTGCAGGGTGGGTGGCGAAGCGTGAGGCAAGGGACGTCAGAGTAAAGCACGGACGACGCTGTCAGTGACGTTCGTGCGGGTTGCGGCGACGCAAGTCGGGTGGTGGTGGCGGTGGTGTTGGCAATATAATGAATTGACGACGTTAAAAAGCGGGAGACATAAACCGTGGTATCGCCGTCCAATTGCAGTTGTTGTTGATGTTGAGTGCTCTTCTTCATCAACATCAACCATGCGAACAAGAAAGCGACAGGTGAATATTTATTGAGGGGGGGGGGGGGGTGGAGTGATGGGACGGGGTTGTGGGGGGTTCGTCGCGTAATAATTACAAGCTCCTTACGTTTAATACATCACTGGCACGTGCAATTAGCGCGTTCAGCGACGGGAGTGCCTCTCTCCCGCCACGTGCTCCGCTTGTTGTCGATTAAAGCTGAACGCCTCTGCAGAAGCTGATCTCTCTCTGGGGGTTACTGCTCAGCACGCCTGGCGGCTGTGTGAAAATCTGTGTGTGTGTTATATATATGTGTGTTTTATATATATATGTGTGTGTTATATGCCAGTGGGGAGTGGTGGTGTAGCGGTTCGCGCGCTGCGCTACGAACCGGGAAACCTGAGTTCGATTCCCGCTCACGACCAAACACCGGTGACGATTATCTGAACCGGTCCTAGATCTGCCTATTAGGTCCACTCAGCCTCAAACGAGTGACCGGAGTGGTGTGTAAACGTCAGCACTGGGGAGACAAAGGCGGCCGGGGAAAGACGGTTTCTAGCCCCACCACCCATACTAGTCGTATCTCAGCCTGTAATGGGAATCTCCTAGGTCGGCTCGACCTCAAATGAATGACTGTTGCTGTGGTGTGTGTGCACATCCGTTTATGGGGAGACAAAGACGGTCGGGATCTGATGATCACGAAACCTCTGCGTGTGTAATTTCTGCCTTAATAGGTGCTCGCTTAGTAACCACAATGCTCACTAGCCTATACGTTGCAGCTAAAATGTGTAGTTTGATTTATACTGGTATACTTTAAGACGTATTCTGTATTATACATTATTGTTTTGAAGCCTCATGCGTTGTATGCAGCACGGGTATATACCCCATACAGACACATACACCGTGCACAGCACAGCACGCGTGCCATTTTACAATGGCATGCGACTCCTTTTTGACAACAATTCAATGAGAAAAATATTGTAGATGTCAAGCCAATGTTGAGATGAAGGCCTCTCCACAAGGCGTGTTGGTTACGGGAGCTGTTTGACCATACTTCACCGCGCCTGTCCAGACGGCTTGATGAAGTGGAGGTGGGGGGAATCGTTTAATATATCAACAGGACACTGATATTCTTCGTGACCAGGAATACAGTGCAGCCTAAGCCTCTTCTTTGTGTTCACAGTGCAGTGCAGTGCGCCAACCACTTCGCCACTGATCCCCGAAATACATAATTAGACAACCACTGTACATGATAAACGTGTAATACGTACGAACACACACACATTTACAATCACGAGAAAGCCTCTAGAACACGATGTCAGTCAAAAACTATGGATATTTTTTTTCTCTTATCGCTGCTGAATATTCACAATTGTTTCTGAGTTACCGTTTAAAAAATACACACACACACATCATCTACACTCTAAATGTTTCCCGAGACGGCCGAACGCATTTAAATGTTGTCTTACTATATATGTGAAAACTATTAATAGCAGTCCGATAAAGGCTAGCATATGATGGATGTGGAGCCAAGCCAAGGTAGGCGGTGCTGGGAGCCAACACCACCCAACATTTCCACCAAGCAGGCTCACCCCATGCGCCAGCTATTGCCTTGGCGGCAGTTTGACCACAAGGCGGTCGAGTGATGTATGGATGAGCACGAGGTGCCCACCTGCTGCTTACTACTCCCCTAACCCAGTGTCGAATGGGAAGCTCTTGATTTCGGGGCAATATCCTTCCCGTTCTGTAAAGAGCGAATGATTGTCCTACGCGTACATTATTGGCGAATGTGTTTCGATTTTTTTTCTCTCTCTCTCTCTCCCTGTGCTTATGCACCACCAACAACGTTAGTGCCATCGCCCAAAATATAATTTCGTAGGTAGTCACAGTGTTAGAGCCGGTGGCCTAGCGCTTTACACGCTGCGCTTTGAACCTGGTTGTTTATGTTTTTGTTTACTACCCGAGTTCTGACCACGGTCAACATCAGCGGCGTCGCGATACCTGCACCACTTCATGGGCCCCATTTCCCTTCAACGTGGAAGTGCGGACTGTGAAACAACCGGCACAGCGTTTCGGAAGCCTTCAATCGTGACACGGTTTGACACAGGGATGTGAGTGCATGCGTATTCATTGCTGTAAGTCATACTTACGGTACTGCGCATAAGCAAATACAAAACTGCGTGTAAATGATACGTTCCAGACGCATACGCGTCGCAACTGGAATGGGTTAGAATGTTCTAGATGGGCTAGAAAGCTGACATTTGGCATCAATACAGTCGAGCGATTGCGTATAAACTAAACAAATGGAACAGCAAAATTGATCGAGTTTGCACGCCTCAAAATATTACTGCTCGGAAGTTGACTGGATTCACGGACACGGCAGGCTCAGCCAAACATTCTCCATCGCTTCACCTTAAGCCTTCTGCTGAACATGTAAACCTGTTCCATCGGCATCGTCATCGTCGGTGAACTCGCCTGCCGTGGGAGTTGGACGCAAAATCCGACGTGAGAGCTGGCATAGTCGGATTTGCGGTTTCTAACACAACATCACAGCATATGCAGTCTAAACACTGCACTGTTTATGAAAATGATTCACAATTACGTTCAATTGCGTCATTATCCTTGGTACTCGAGGCAGCTCTATAAGACGAACCGGGGGGGGGGGGGGGGGGGTTGCACATTTACATCAAAAGTAATGATCAGAGGCAATGCAGTGCTTATCGCGGCATGCACCACGCATGATGCATGCGCACGTTAAGCTTATACACAACGCAGCACTGCGCTGTGAAGCCACCAGTCTAAGTTCGATTCCAGGCCACGGCTAACGGTCGAGTCTCCTCCCCCCCCCCTTTCGCTATGGTGAAACATCAACGATAAAAAGAGAATCCCGTGACTGACGCCATGGCGTGCGGAGGGCTGCGAGCAGGCAGGAGACTCACAAAGGGCGCTCTGGGTTATTGTTGTTACGATTTCTCGTAGAGAGCCCACTTCTCCGCACCAGATAATAAGAGACAGCCGCCTTTGTCATTATTCTCGCAATCATGTACTCGGACCACTAAAAAGAACAATAATAAGATAATGCTTTTTTAATATTCGATGTTGATTTTATTTTACATTCTGGCGGAAAGAACTACATTAACAGAAGCACAAATTGAAGAGTTTACAGCACATTTAAGTGAACCGTGTCAGTCTTCAACATTCCTTACTCCCATCTCCTGTTGCGCGTCGCTATATATACTGTAGGACGAATCTTCCTAACTTCTTCCGCTCTTTCACTTCAATTCAATGTGTAGTGTCTGTTAGGCGGAGAATCGTCCCGTGCAGCCCCATCTAGTGTCGGTGTGGCAAGGACCCGCAGAAGCCACAAACAACAACAACAACAGAGTTGCCGTTGGGGTGGCGGTGAGGAGCCCAGCCAGCAGCCAGCCAATACAACTCGAGAGGTTGGTGAAGATTGATAGAGAGACAAAACACACACACGGAGACACACAGTGTCTCTGCGTGTCTCCGTGTCTGTGTTTGGTCTCTCAAAACACACACACACGGAGACACACAGTGTCTCTGCGTGTCTCCGTGTCTGTGTTTGGTCTCTCTCTCTAAAATTTAGTTCTACCTGATGACGGTTGCTTGTGTTGCAATCGAAACGTCGTATTATATTATTTACTTAATTTTTTTTCTACGTGACTTTACCGAAAGAACCAAAGAGTAATTCCTGCAGTCACGAAATCTTCAAATCAAGGTTGATGAAGTTTAACAACAGTGTGATTTTGGTTTCTAACTCGCGATTGTGCGGCGCGCTGCCGACTCAGGGAGCTACGGGGCATAAGTCTCGCCCGAGCTGCGCCCTACCGCCCCACCAGGCCCCCAATGCTCTTCGGTTATCCGCGCTGAACCCGTCCATGGGAACACCAAACGCCTCTCGCCGCTGCGCACGTTCAATGCGTAACGCGCGCTCTCCGTTTAACGTGCGGCAACACGGGACCAAACGCATCCCGTTGCAACGCAAACGGAGCGTCTGTTTCGCCGTTGCCGGGGCATTATTCCGAGTACTGCAGTATCATCATCAGCAGCAGCAGCAGCAATAACAGTTGTTAACGATAACAGATCGGTAGACGGACAGCGTTGCATACACCGCGATACATGCACGTGGAGTTGTACCCCCGACGACTTCAACGTCGCGTGCGTGAAAGCTGACGCACGTGCGCACGCGAGGAGAACGCTCACTCACTCACCTCGGCCACCAGTACTCCCCGTCTGCCCATTGTAGCCCGCGCGTGTTCGGTGCACGCTCTTGCCTCGACGAGACAAACAAGCAAAAAAATGCACGACGAATTCGTCCGGGCCCGTGCAGCTCCTTGCGCGGGAGGTCGCTACGGGCTCCTCGGCTCTTCCCTCGTGATGACGACGTCGGTGCCGCTGCGGATATTTGTCGGATTATCTCAAGTACTTCTTCAATCGGTGCGGGCTTGCTCTCTCTCTCTCGCACGCACGCACGCACGCGTCGAGGTGGAGAAGATGGCGATGAGATTCTGGTTCGCGTGAGCCGAAACCAGGACAATAACTCGAGTGTTAAGAGTTCGATAACAGCAGCGGCTGTTATCTGCACAGGAACCACCTTAATCGCACAACCGCCACCCACGGCCCCGACTCCTCCGCTCACTTCGCCTCTCGCGCACCTGAACGGGCCTGGTGCAATCAGCGCCGACCACCCATCTACCCCCCCCCCCCCCTTACTCGTTACCTATCGCGACGTCTTCGAGACGGAACGACCTCGACGTAGAGTCACGGAGAAACTGCTGAAAGCGAAACCGATGTGCTGGTCATCTATGCGGGGGCGTTGCTGCTGCTGCTGCTACTACTGGTGGAGTGATAGCGCCTTTTCAGTGACTCGCAGTGAGTCCGCGTATTTAACTCGTTGTCTACCTGTGAACTCAAGCTGTTGTACGCACGCGTGTGCGCGTTTTATGGACTTCAACGCGCTGCGTCAAATACACAAATAAAATTAGCATCAGCGCTGTGTACTGGGATAGTTATCGCGCATCGCACAACTAAGCGCGCTGCTCTCTTGGCACGGCAAGCGCGCGCACGCGCGTACACGCACGGTGAGCTAATTGAGAGCGACGCAAATGATTTGCACGAACGTGTGCGACGAGTTGCCTTGGCGAGTCTCGACTGAGCTGAGCGCGCACTCCCGGATTGGCAAGTGGAGCGCGACTGCGCATTCAGTCCACGTGGCTTTGCTGTAGCTATCGACCCCCGTTCACCTTCCGAGCGCGCACTGCCACTCGCAGCCAGCGAGGCCACTGCCGATCATGGCACGGCGCAGAGCGCGCCAGATGCATCTGAAATGCGCAAAGACGCGCAGGCCCATCGCTATTTATAAACCACGGCCGGCTGGTCTTCCCCTGGAACTCACGCGGGGGCCTCTATCAGCGCGGTTGTCTCTCCTACAGTCGCTTAATTGGATTATGCAAACGTATAGGAGAAGCGAGCTATATGGTGCGGACCCATATGCTGTGCCAACTATAACTTCACGCTGAAGGGTAAAAGCAGATTTGATTCGTCGACCGGGACAAGTATTGGCGCGTCGCCTCGCACCTAATGCTCAACTCCTATCGCACGTAGGTAGGCTATTATTAACCACAACATAGGTTCGCTTATATTCCTGACCTATAAGACACCTCGCAAAACCGCACGCTGGTCACAGACTCTTTATGAGCGCGGAGTGACCCAGCACGGACACCGGCGGCTCGGCTACACCGTGGTAACTGAGCGATTTACATGCGCGGTCACACACACACACAAACACCGCGTGCACGAGGGGGCAATGTGGAACCCTGGGAGTGGGACACACCGCCCACCCCACCAACCAACCCACCCCGCCCTACTGCCTTCCCCCCTCCATCCCTCACTCACTCCCTCCTCCGGCGACCTCTGCCGCGATCACAGCTGCAGCTTTGAAAAATCTCCGCGCAGAGATTCCTTCTGATCCACGCGAATGCGCGCGATGTTCCGCACGCGGGGTGTGTCCCGACCCGGCTGGAGGTACGCACGTGACACTTTGCAGCCACCAGCTGCCAGTGTCGTATAAAATCACACGAGTGATTCTCAAACTCCAGTGCCAGTTTACCAATCATCAGCTGAGTGCAACGTCTGGTGGGTTAAATTGCACGCGAATGGAACAAGAAGGGGGTAAACTTGACGGGGCACATCGTGTGGGGTCGCGAGGACTGGAGTGCGGGTGTCATTGCGCTAAATAATCACCGGCGACAACGATGGGCCAGGTATTGCCTGCGGCAGTTCAATGTTGCCATCTGCATTTGATCATTTTCGAAGCGGCGTCCGACATTCAAAATCCCACTGTTTCTCATCAAATGAGCATTAGCGTGGTGCTCATCTCCTTTGGGGGGCACGAGTTATTGGTGGATTTTCACATGACGATGATGGGGGCCAGTCTGCCCAAGTGAATACTTGGTGTGATATTTTATCAAATTAGGAATTTGTCAATTTTACAATGCAATGCCATGTATTGTAATTGTTACAGGTTGTGCCACTAAAACAGTGGCGGCGTAGCTATCGAGTGTGCAGGCGGTGCAACTGCCACCGGGACCCTTGAGCCAGAGGGGACCCAGGCGCCGGGTTACGATAGAGCGAGCAGCATTGCATAGGGAGTGGCCCCATTCATTCCTTGCACCACACCACGCGACACTGCTCTAAACCTACGACGGACAGCTCTTGCAAACGTTGCTGTTGAAATTTTTAAATGAACTGATTGGCAAGCGCGTTGGCGTCATGACCTCAGCAGAGTGCTAATTAACTTTTTCAGAAGAAGGGTGGATGATAAATGTGACTCCATGCATTAACCCCAGGTTCCAAGCCCACTACATAATGAAATACAAAGCTGTAACATCTCATTTTGCGCTGTTGTAGAACTATATTAAATAAATAAATAGATGCATCAATAAATAAGGACACACATTTGTCTCCGCATCAATGCGAACTATGTTTCGGTCCATTAGCCTACAGACCTGCATTAATGTTAAACACCAGCATGCGATTAAGGAGGCTAACTGAGGACCAGGGTTGACCGGTGTTGCACTGGAGCCATCCACATGGTTAATGACATCCAGAAATGACATCTACAAATTACATATACGTACAAATGACATCTACAAATGACATCAAGCAATACGGGCACTGTTGGTCACCACGTGTTATAAAGCCAGGTCAGTTTTGAAAAAGGTGACTTCGAATTTGAACTTATTCTCACTTTTATAAAAACTGTATCGATCAACCTGGCAGCACATTATCAGCACCCCTGTCACTCTGCTAATGAGACTGAGAAGGTCGAAACCAGTCCAAGATTCTGTCCACGTAATCAAATTATGATGTTTAACACAGATTTTTGAAGACCCATAGATTAATTGACTGAAAAAAATATTTTTCGATTTAAAGCTTTCGTGACGGCAAGGATTCATCTTCTTTGGTTCTTTCGGTAAAGTCACGTAGAATGAGAATACAATAATAAATTGATAAAATAAAATAACACAATAATATTCTCACGACGTTTCGGCCACAACACAAGCGGCCTTCATCAGGTGAAGGGACGGGACTGTCTGGAGGACAGCGCTGGAGTGAAAAAGCCATGCTCAGATCGCGACCTTTATGCTGTGTGAGAAGAAACAAAGCGCCTTGACAAAGGAATTAGCATTGAATTTAGCATTGAAATGGCTGAGTGATTAGCTTGTGACTGGTCACACAAATGGATATGTTAAAATTAAAGCATACACATCCGCAGAGGCACCCCTTGACAAAGGAATTAGCATAGAATTTAGCATTGAAATAGCTAAGTTAAAGCATACACATCCGCAGAGGCACCCCTTGACAAAGGAATTAGCATAGAATTTAGCATTGAAATAGCTGAGTGATTAGCTTGTAACTGGTCACAGAAATAGCTATGTTAAAGTCAGAGCATACACATTCACAGAGGCACCTAGTACAAATCAAACAGGAGAATTTAGCATTGAAATAACTAGGCGAATTTAGCATTGAAATTACTGAGTGATTAGCTTGTGACTGGTCACAGAAATTGCTATGTTGAAGTCAAGGCCTACACATCTGAGCTATTCACAGTAACTGGGTATACACTACAATATATAATGAATACTATATAGTGAACCAATAAAAAACAATAAAAAACTAAAATATAAATTACCTCAATGTTATCAATAAACTCTATATATTCTCCAATCAGCTAAGCTACCAACAATAAGTCGTTGTATATCACAATGCTATATGGCGAAAAAATGGGTGGATTCTTACCCTCAACTTTAGCACCACGGATAGCTACGAGCCCCGTTCAGACGGACGAGTTCATCTATGGTCGGAACAGAGGAGGGGGAGAGAGACAGCTGCGAGGCGCTGTTATACTCCATGTTGTAAACCATACCATTCACCGTGGTGTGAGAGGTATTAAGAGTCAATGACAGCAAAAGAGCTGCGGTCTGAAGGTCATCGTAAAATACAATTAATTAAGAACGGAAACGTTCATGAGGCCATTCACATATACAAGCACAGAGACAATTTCAACCGAGAAGATGGATTCTGGCTTAGTAACCATTGGAAAGATGTTTTAAACCATTTCCGTTCTTAATTAATTGTATTTCACGTGAAGTGAGCTCCCTCTGTTATTGTTCCACAGTCTGTACAACACAGACTGTGGAACAATGCTGTAGAACAATACTATGGAACAATTATGTGGAACAATACTGTGGAACAATGATGTGGACAAATATTGCGGAACAATACTGTGGAACAATGCTGTGGAACAATGCTGTGGACTAATACTGTGGAACAATACTGTGGAACAATGCTGTGGAACAATGCTGTGGAACAATACTGTGGAACAATGTTGTAGAACAATACTGTGGAACAATGCTGTGGACCAATTCTGTGGAACAATACTGTGGAACAATACACTCAGTGCGAGCGCTTTCATCGCGAAGGCAACGATGCCCAACACCACGGGGGGAACTTCACACGGGCACATTTCACGTGGCAATCGCACACTCAGATGTAAGGGTTTCGCATTCCTTCTCACGGCAACCAGCCAGCCAGCCCTGGAGTTTGCGGCTCTGCCAGGTACAGACACCTTGGGGGGTAACTCGCCGAGCTGTTCGCGTCTCAGGGAACTGCACAGCAGGAAATGATTCGCCGCTAATGCTGACTGTGACGAGCCTGGAGCTCACGTCCATCTGATTAATTACCCAGTAGCCAGAGCAGGCTGTGCGGCCTGTGGCATCTGCATGGGGGGGGGGGGGGGGTCGAGAGTGGGTGGTGTCCTGATCGTAACGTTGGGTCACTGCGCAGGCTAGGGGACGTGTTATAAGTATTGTCCTGCACGGGGAGAAAGTGTTTGTGTATGTCAGTGGTTTAACGACTGTTTTTCACTGAAGGAGCCTGCTCTTGTGAGATCTCGCAAGCGAAACTGGACTGACGCTGCTAAATTGAGCTGTAAAATTCACCCCCCCACCCCGCCCCGCTGGTGAGCCGAATAATTGTCACGCTTCATGGCCATGATTCGATTTCAGGAACAAATATATATTTATTTTGTAATATTATGGTGGATGTAGCAGCCCCAATTTGTTTCACGATTCGTGTAAACCAATTACATAGGGTATATGCAAATTTAATAACAGTTATTCTAAGCATTTCTTGTGTGCCTAATAATGAATATTGCTTGATTACTCAAAGCATAATTATATTTACAATGGTTAGTACTTGGACGTGATACTGCCTGTAAATGCCAGGTCTTGGGTTTGAGAGGTGGCTAGGAGATGGAAGCGCAGCGATGGATTCTGGAATCTATCCGTATGGAGCTTTCAGTGTCGGCATGTCGAGTTCACTGCAATGTGATGCGAAGGTCGAACCCATGAAAAAACAAACTTCGATTTATGACCGGGCAGTTCGGCACCGTGGCGTCGCTACTTACAATGGGGCCTTGCACCCATTGCTGACCGCAGCGCATTCAAATCACAGCTGCCATAAGTGCCCTATTTAAATTATCCTGCCACCTGGACCACATTTAACAAGCAATCGAGCTCCATGCAGACATTGTGGGCAAAGGGTAGTTATTAAATGTCACGAGAGCACATGTAATGGCTGGGGTAAGCAGGCAGACTGGGTGATAACAAGAACGTTTCATTGCTTCATTCATTCGGTGTAATCCCTGCCTCTGCCTTCGACAGCTGCCCCTTACATTCTTCTGGGTGTTATTCTGCGGGCACGAATCTCATTAAATGTGACGCCGTCCTATTTGCACGTTCAAACAATGTGATGGTGAGTCTGCATATTCTTCTGTCAAACAGTGAGGACACAATTAATTGTGGGAAAATCTGCTTAACAATGTAAGGATATTTCTATGCTTCAATTAGGTGACCTTCAACTCCATCGGTGGCTCTGGGACAGTTATGGATATTCCACATTACCATGGTGAGGCCAGTCCTATCTTTCCACCTTCCCGTTGTCAGTCAAGTGCTGAACATTGAGGCTAGCTTGAGCACCTGAATATTAAATTGTAGCCCCTGCTTTGCATCTACATCAGCCAATCGAAAGAAGAGACGACTGTTCACACATTCGTGTGTATATCTCAGAATTTTCACCTCTCTGTATGGGGTCCTCTTCTGTGAGTGAGTTTCTCCATCAACTCTGCTCTCTTCCCATTCATAAATAAATATAAATATATAGTCGAGAATTAATTGACCAAACATGCCAAGCAGGACTCTCATGGAAAAATAAAAGGCATGAGACTCGTTGAGGCTTCCCAAGAAAAG